GCGCGGCCGCGGCGGGGGCTTCCATCGCCGGCGGGGCGGGAAGCAGCGGGAGACGGCGGTGGGCTGGCGAGCGGTTGGCTCCCGCGCTAGCGAGGATGACTGCGACGAGGAGGAGTGCGGGTTGGGGGGAGATTTTCCCCTCAACCCCTACTTCTACAGATTGCAAAGTCGTTTAAGGGTTGGACCTCTAAATTTTTTTACGGGTTTGAGGGTTTAGAGGTTCTAGTCTACGGAGTTTTTTCGGCGAAAACTGTAAAAAAGCGGTTATTTTTAGGGATTTGAGGGTTTGAGGGCTCTACTAGTAATGCTCTAAGGTATTCTCTTAACATGCAAACAGTCCAACTCATCATGCCATGTCATCAGATACCAGCCAACCACAAGTCAGCGATTACAGGAGGGACCCACCATAGGTAGACAACAAATCATGTGATTAAATTTTAGTTTGCATGTAGTCATTCCCTGGTCACCGAAAAGACCATCGTTTCCTCTTCAATTCAGTTACAACTACAGAATGCACCTATCACAAGATAATCAGTACAACACGACCTTCTCTATCCTTGGTATTTTTCGCTGGCTACAATAGGGTGCGGCGTCTGGGATCCCATCTATGTGTGAGGAAGCTCCTCCGGTCCGGATCGCCTCTACGACCCTTCCTAATTCTCTGAGATATGTTCCCCTCCGTTGTGGCGACTGTATCGTCAAGACGGTGTCCGTGGTGCCCTGGTCCTCTCCATTCTATCTCTCCGTTCTAGCCAAGATACCTCCGCCGCCTCTGGGGATGTTCGACCCGTTCAGTTCGACTGGATCAGATCGAACTCTGGGGTTCTGGAGCTGGCTTTCTTTCCGATCTGGTGGTGATGCCGGCCTGTGCCATGTAGTGGAGGGCTTTCTTTTTGGCCTTGAGGGGTCGGGCTGATGGCGACGCAGGACATGACCTCCTTTTCCAGCAAGAACTTGCAAGAGCCCTGGATCCAACTCCTTCCGCGGGTGTCGTCCCGGCTGATGCATAGACGAGCTTCTACTACGGCAATGGTAGCTTTATTTTTTGGCAAGCCAACCTGCAGTCTTATCTCTAATATCTAATTTTGTATATACTCCGTATATCACAATAAAATCTCTCTCCCATTATGGTAGGATGTATACTACAAGATGTGAGGTGCCACTTCTTACTCAGCCGCAAATCTTTCATGAATACAATACAGACCATATATAATAAGTTTCAGTTTTACAAGCAAAATCCCATACTTCACATGACATTGTTTTTCTCAGGCAACTACAATGAACATTCACGTGTCTTTTCTTTTACTTAATTTCCTACCTTTCATATTTGTAATTGCTCTGATTTAGAATGATGATTGCAAGACTCTTTCCTGTACCTGGCTTACTCAAGCATCTTTGACAGGGAAAAGAAGATGATGAAAAAATGCTTAAATATTTTTGCATGGTGTTGTCTGTACTGTAGTCTTATATTTTTCCAAATGGCCCAAATTTGCGATGGATTTATGTTGCGTGGCCGATCAGGGAAGATGAAGAGGCATATATTATGCCCTTATATCTATTGCCTACAGCACATACATGTAAGCTTCCTTCATTTATTTTCAGTCTCTTCTTTGACCAAGGCTAGATTTCAGAGTAGAGACCACTAATATTTTCTTTTCTTGCAGATTTGCTACGTAAAACTGGTTGGATGCCACTTGAGTATTAATTCATTGAGGTGACATCCTCTGTGATTTCACATTACTTTCTAATTCCAATCGAAAAATGCAGCTAATGTTTGTTCGTCCTTTAATTGCTTTGTATCATTTCAGGCTGTTCACCTTTGGTTACTCCAGAATTATTTTTGTTCTACATCTTTAGTTTAGCAATAATGTTTACTTTTCCAAAACTGATAATTCTCATTTCTATGTATCTATCTTCATCATCAAGGTTATGAAAGGAGAAACATGCGATTTACTTTATTTGGAACATATTATATATTCTAACCATTCAATTATTATTTCGAGAAAAGAACTGTTCAATTCATGAGTTGAAGTAATGGTCTCTGATTTTCCGAGTTCTTAGTTTCAAGAGTCATGTACAAGCAGACTGATTCACATTTTTTGTGAGTGTTTTCACTGTCCAATATTAACCATTTAATTTTGCTTGCCCAATATTAATTGATTAAGTTTTTCCTTTTCCTGATATTGATTAGTCACTATGTTATTCAGACTTTTCGTACAATCAAAGTATTCTGATAGGCATTTGATTGCTCATTTCCCAAATAATTTGCAGGTGGAATATCTCCATGTTTCATTTTGGACTATGACCCCCTGCACTGATGTTATTCATATATTGTACTCATACCATTTTAAACCACATACTATTTCT